CAGGTTAAAACAACAAATATTTAGTATCTCACACAATTTCTGAGCATTGGGAATCCAAGGCTGACTTAGCTGGGCCATTCTGGCTCAGGCTCTCCTGAGGGTGCAGTCAAGCTGTCAGGCAGAACGGCAGTCATCTGAAGCTTTGCCTGCAGCTGGAGGATCTGCTTCCAAGCTCAGCCTCAAGCTCACTCAGTTCCCTGTCACATGGACCTCTCCAGAGGGCTGTGGGCTTTCTCCAAAGCAAATGTGACCAGAGAGACAGGGATGGAGGTACAGTGACTATCAAAATCTCATCTCAGAAATGACAGACTATCACTCTGCAACATCCTATTGTTTACACACACTAACCCTGATAAAATGTAGGAGGGGGTGACACAAGGGTGCAAATGCCAGGAAGCAGGGATCACTGGATGTCGGCTTCCTCACCAATCACAGCTGAAGGTGAGTGCCAGTTGTCCTGAGATGCTTGCAACAGAGTTAGAGGCTCCTAGAGTCACACACAGCACAAGGAGAGACATGGGAACCTGAGAGGCTGTCCCCTTCGTTTTGCAGCTAAGGAAACTGAGAAGTTTACAGATTTACTAGAGAGTGCAGCCACTCTTGTCAGGAGCCCAGGGGCTCAGTCCTGCCTTGGTCCTAGTGACAAGGACCATGCTCACCCTCTCCTGGCCTCACCTCTCCCTGCCTTCCCTCTGCAGGTGCAGATGCTGGGGTCCTAGCACATCAAGGCCTAGATCAGAGTCACCTTGCCCAAGCCCTCAAGAGTTCCTTTTTCCTCAGAGCTGTTTCCTCACATTCTCTCTCAGTCACACTAAGAAGACCACCCCACTTGTTTCCACAAACCCCGCCTCTGCCACAGGGGTTGTTGGTAGCACGTCCCCAGGAGCCCCAGAGTGCAGCATGTACCGCCGTGTTGGCATTGCCAGACACAAGGCTGTGCTGGCCTCCTGGGGTCCCAATGCCATTTGTAGTCAGTGTTGAAACGTCTCAGAGCTCTGCAATCGATCTCTGAGTGAAACAAAACACGGCCCCAAGCCAGAAGGAGGCGGGAGCGAGGCGTGCTGCTGCGCTTTGCTCCTTGGTCTGGATGCTGTTCATGCAGGTTATTCATTCTATGACAGCTCATCAGATTGCACTCTGGTGATTTGTACAATTTTCTATATGAATATTATACTTCAAAAATTTTTAATATTCTCAAAGACTGGGACATATGTGTCTGGAAAGATCCCAGACAGAAGCATTCTTCTGAGCCATTGGCAACCTTTGTTCTCCGTCACCACGGGGAAGCTCCATTCAGGTGGACTCTTGGGTGGCAGATCTGAAAAGGGACTAAAGTTAGAGGGCCCTTGGCACCAAGATAAGAAGTGACATTCAGGGGGTCTGGGCATCCCCAGCATTGCTCACCCTTCTCAGCACTGTCCCAAGCCTCAGTGACCCCAAAGCATCCTGGGCAGTAGTGGAGGAATAAGGATGGGTGTTCCCAACCATCAGGATCAAACAGTGCATCCCTCAGAGCTTTCTCTGAGTGGACAGGTCAGGGGGACGGGGGACAGGGGAGAGACAATGAGGTCAGGCCAGCACCATCAAGCAGAAGAGCCAAGAAGTTACGCACTGCTTTGCCTTTGGATATGTTCCACATTATCTCCTGTTCTCCAAACTCCTTCTTGGGGTTCACCCTTCCAGGCACCGGTTCACTGTTCTTCTTTTGACCCTGGGAGACAACACTGACCAGGCCATCAGAGAAAGAAGACCCAGCTCACCTCCTTGAGGACCCCGGTCCATGCACATCTTCCCACCGCTCTCCTGCCCCACCCCTGAGCTGGGACTCTCCCAACCCTGCAAGCTCTGCAGCCAGTTGCAGGCTGGTGGAATGAGACGGGACCTACTGAGCTGAGCAGTCCCTCCATGGTTCACACCCCAGTCCTGCCTGATCATCAACCTATAGGTCCTTTGCCACCACAGTGCCTAGCTGCTCAGTAAGTGCTCGATGAGGAAGGAGGGACCTAAGGCAGACCTTTCCCCCACCCACCTCATGTGGAGCCATGGTAGAAATGGGAGCCACTGAGAGGGACATGAATGTGGCTGGGGAGGCAGGGAAGAAATTGCTGGTGAGGATCCTGGCTGTCCAGGAGCCAGATTCTGGGAGGTCAGAAGTTTCCTATTTCCCCTTCTTTGCCCAGTCAGGCCAGGGAAAATCCCCTCACGCTGACACACTGACATACTGACACACAACAACCCATCCCTCTGATCTGTAGGCTGTGCACCCACAAGATGCCCCGCTGAAGATGCTAAACGAGCACAGAGGCTAGCTCTGCGGCTGACTGACTAGGGGTTCAGGCATGGGTACAACTAATGCCCCAACTCTGGGGTCCTTGTCGTGGCTTCCTTGGTGTCTTTGGATGGGTCTGTTCCCCAATCATTGCAGCTGGTCAGCTGGAGCAGCCTGGCGGAAGCTGAAGCCATATTCCTCTTACCCACTTGCCAGAGTACCACTTTGAAGCCATGCCGGACTGGGCTCCCGTTCCCAGCCCCTCCTTGTGTTCACTGTCCTCTGACCTGTCAAGGCCTGCAGTTAGGCTCAGGCCACACATGGACCTCCTGGGTCCTCACTAATGCTCTACCCAGCCCTTGCGGGGAGGGGGCACTTTCTGCCTCTGTGGAAGTCCCTGTGCGTTTCTGGCCCCTCCCCACACCCCTTCCTCTGCACCAGCACAGCCTAAGAGCCCTTCCCAGTCTGCTCTGTAGTCCAGGGCCCTGGCTGCCCCTTCAGTGCTGTTCACGGGACACATGAGATCCAGGAAGCCTGTGACCACAGTGGCCAAGACTTGGATCAGTGACAAGATATGGGGTATGATATGAGTTGGAAAGAAGAATGTTCTGGGAAGAAGTGAGGCCTCCGCCCCCAGGTCCAGGACCTGTCTAATCTGATCCCAAAATGTGTGCTAGGTAGGCCCTGCCTTATCTCTGCAGAGGCTCACTCAAGGATGCTAACATGGCAGAGCTGTGGGAGGTTCAGCCATGGACCTAGAGTTTTGGAAGAGATGGGCTGGGCTGGGCTGTGCTGAGGGCTCCCTTCCTCTCTGACTGACGTTTTCTCCCCGCAGCTCATTCGCTAGAACAGAACGGGCCCCCTCCCCTTCCTGGGTTGAAGATCGCTACTCTGCCTGCCTCCGCAGTCCCAGCCTTCCCAGCTGGGCTCCTCCTCCTCCTGCCCAGCTGCAGACTCAGACTCTCCCTGCTTACACCTTGCTCTCCTGCTTCCTGCCTCTCCGGAGACAATCTCACGCACAAGAACCATTCTCTTAAGAAGGGCTGTTATTGCTAATCCCACAGCCTGGGACACATTCCAGAGAAACCAACACAGGGCTTTGACCAACGTTCCCATGCTCTGGACTCTCAGGGTTGGAGATCCTGGGGCACTTTCCAAGAGGTTCTGGGAGCCTGGTCTGTGAGCTCCTCGGCATGCTTTATATATAGGCTTCTGGTTCCCACCAAGTCAACTCTGCAGCAACGTCCAGGTTGGTAAGGAATTCTCTGATGGTCCTTGTTCTAATTCTTAAAAAAAAGCCCCCACCTTCTTTCTCCTGCTGCAGGCAGTGCTGATTCAGAGACACGAGTGAGAACGAGTCTACCATTCAAGTGGCCCTTGTCTGGTAGATCAGTCCCATTTGAGAACCTGCAGTGACAAAAACAGTGATTCCAGGAAGACTTTGGGGCCCCAAGGCTCTCAAAGAAGCAGCAGCCCCAGCTGCTCTCCAGTGCCACAGAGCCCAGCAAGTCCCCAGAGCCAGAGGCAGGGCTGTCCCCTGGCACTGCCTTTGTTCTTCCCTGAGAAGAGGGCCACACCTGCTTCCCTGTCTCTCCGCAGACAGACTTGCTCAGGGACTCTTCAGTGACAGGGCCCTGGGGGGGATGATCAAAGAACTAGAATCTTGGTCTTGGAGGATCAGGGCTGAGGCACCACATCTCGAACTATCACTGGAGTGTGTTTCCTGTAATACAGTCAATCAAGATGCTTTGGGACAAATGCATCCCAAGGTCAAAACCAAGTATGGGTAACACTGAGCTCTAGCCCCTCTTGGAAGGAGGGGGTGGGGGGTTACAATGTGCATTAACATAGTAAAGGCTCTGAAAAAGCCTGTGGGAAATAAACTTAACTGCATTTCAGTCCATGATTTCTAAACATATTTGATTACACTTCTTTTTTTCTGGCAGAACACATGTTAATAGAACACCTTTTACACCTTTAGGAACCACTGCCTGCTCAGCCTCTCTCCTCACGGGGAAGGGCACCAGGGAGGGCCCTGGGTCTCACTGCCACCCCCAGAAGGCTTGGCCCAGGTGTGGAGGGCTCTACATCCTCACTACTCAAGTATGTCTGTGGAGCAACAGCATTGCTGGGTTGCTGGGATCTTGTTAGAAATGCAGAACCTCAGGCCCCACCCCAGACCTACTGATCTGAATCTGCATGTTAGCAAAATCCCCAGGGGATCTGATAAACGGCAGTTTGAGAAGCACTGTTCTACATCTCCTGTTCTTCCCCCTCCAAGATGGCCAGTTGGGTCATCTCCCCAGCTAGGTGGGGGCCCTAGGCTCCGTATCTGGATGTAGTTGACATAGCCTGAACCTTGTACCTGCTTAGGAATTCCCCACATTATGAGTTCTTCTTCCCAAGAGCCCGTGAGGGGAACCAAAATGGACTGCCAGACATCGACAAGGCTTCATTTTTGCAGAGGCTCATGAAAAGGACCAGGGAGTTCTTCCAGCTTGGCCTCCCCGTCCCTGATCAGATGCCTCTTCCACAGAAGGACCTGGAGACTCAAAGATGGTCATCTTGGGGGTCCAACCAGAGTCACCTCTGAGAGTCAGTCACAGCCTCCCCTAGAAGGTCAGTAGTGATCATTCACAAGGGTCAAACATAGTCGCTCTTAGGAGCTCTCCCCTACCCTCGCCAACCCCCTTAGGCACCCAGAAGAAAGGAAAGGTAAGCCAGAATCTAGGGAGAAGATGTTTTATTGAGATTTTGCTACATAGATAGCTACCGAAAGCTGAGAGGACTAAATGGAGCAGCTGCTGTCTCCTCCCTCTGCACAGGTCACCTAGGAACCCATGGGGAGGGGAAACTGGGGGGAGCCTGACAATGACTAGATAGAGAGAGGACCCCTGGATGGTATCTGGAATGAGGAGTCTGATATGAGAGAGGAAGAGAGAGAGGCTAACAGCCTAGGTATCACAAGGGAGGGAAAAGTGAGGGCCAAATAGGTCACAGCACTTGGGATCATTGGGTCAGAGCCTGTACCACATCCTTCACCAGCATAGTGCCGATCACCATCTTCTCACTGTTGACGGTCAGCTGGGCAGCTCCAGTGGGCTGGGCGTCCAGGGTCAGCAGGACCAGGCTCCCGCTGGTCAGTGTCCTCCCTGCAAACCTGGGGTGGGAGTAGAGGAAGGGGCTCAACCCTGGGGCATGGGACCCCTCCTTCAAACCAGCCCTTCTCTTCCCCTCTGCTGGTGGTCAGTACCTATACTCATCAGATGTCCCACAAGGGACACGACCCAGGTTAGCAGTGGCAGTAACTTTCTGTACCACAACGTGGTCACTCCGACAGGTGTCTGGCAGCGTGAGCTTCTCTGTGATCTCATTCATGCCCGTCAGCTTTCCTGGGGACAGAGGTCATGATGAGGGCAGAGGCCGTGGTGGGTGCACCTGCTTCTGCCCACTTAGCATCCTCACCAGGCTCTACTTAGGCTGGGCAGGTCTGAATCTCCCTCACTGGTCTTGAGGAGGGGTCACGTCCTTCTTGAACCTGGCCCTCCCTCAGGGAGCCTCTGTATCCTCACCCCACCCAGGGGTCTATCCACAGTGCTGACCAAAGACTGAGCTGGCGTTTCCCCACTGTCAGACGTCTGGGCCACCAGCCGCTTGAGAGTACCAGTGGACTTGGTGGCCAGTCAGTCCTTCCTAGTTGGCCCTCCAATCCAAGTTCAGATCTCTCCCAGCTCCTAGAGGTTGAGTCTTCACAAAGAGATCACTGGTGGCTGCTGCTGGTCCCCCCAGACAGGCCAGAGTCCAGTAGTCACATGCAGCCCTCACAGGTGGACCCCTAATTTCACCTGTGGCAATAGCTCCAAACCTGCCCAGGATTCCTGAAGCCCTTGGGCACCCACAGCATCCCTAGAAACCCTCAATCCACTGACCCCTCCTCTACACTCACACGCGCTAGCCAGCATGTGAGCTCCTCCATCTGCCCTCCTCTTCAGCCTCTTTCTCCTCCTCCTGCTGCTTCTCCCATTCTTCTCCTTTTGAGAATGGACGTGCCCTTCCGGTTGCTTTCACCCCCTCCATTCCTTACTGTGACATTTTCTTGCCCCTGTTCTTTTAGCTTCTCCATGATTAAGTCTCCTGGCTCCTCAGAAGTCCTCTCCAGAAGACAGATCCCTCATTATATTAATGCCGTGTCTTCCCCCACCATTCACGGCCAAGGTCCTCCAAAGAGGACTCCATTTCCTCTGTGTCCACTTTTGCAATGACCTGCTCTCTCTGATACTGGTAGCAGCTTCCTATCTGTGGCTCTGAAGGTCTTTGGTCATCCCGGCCTGTACACCCTCTAGGCACTTTTCTACCTTCTCATCTCTCATGGTTCTCCCACCTCTTACTCTGTTCCTTCTCTTAACCTTCCCTTCTTTTTCTCCTGAAAAACACAGGTTTTCCTAAAGGAAGGTCCTTGGCCTTCTTATCTTCCAGCCCATCTCTCTCCCAGGCTGATCTCACTCATATTCGCAGCTTCAATTATCACCTCTATGTTCCTGACTCCAGCATAGGAGTATTTCCTGGGCACAGACCCACACTTTTAGCTGTGTACTAAACACCTCCTCCTGAACTTCCCAAATGTATTTCAAAAGCAGCTTATCCAAAACTAACCAAGATCTTTCCCCCTCCCTTACCATTCTTCTTTCTTCCAGATTAGGAGATTGGCAAATTACAGCCTCAAGGTCAAATCCAACCCACCACCTGCATGACCCATGATTCTTTTTTATATTTAAGTGTTGGAGAAAAAAATCAAAAGATGGATATTTCATGACACGTGAAAATTATATGAAATTCAAATGTAAGTGTCCACAAATAGAATTTTATTGGAGTACAGCCACATACATTCATTTACATATTACCTGTGGCTCTTTCTGTGTTACAACAGTGAACTGCCACAGAGACCACCTGACCCAGAAAACCTAAAACATTTGTTTTATGGTCCATGAAAGAAAGAGTTGGCTGACCCCTAGTCTAGATGAACAGCACTGCCATTCTCCGTACCATCTAAGCCAGACATTCTAGAGTCAGTTTATATGTCTCCTTCTCCTCCTTCTTAGGGCAAATGCCAATGGCTTCTCTCTCCCCCACTGCAGACTTTCATTTTTTTTGCTATGGCTCTAATCCTGGTCCTCATCATCTCTCATCTGATCTTCTGCAATAGCCTTATAACTAGTCACAGAATTTAGTCCAAGGCCACACACCAAGCAAGTGACAAGCTTAGAACTTAAAGCCAGGACTCATGAAGCCCCATATTTCTTCCCACTTTCCTCTTGCATATTCTCTCAATTCCAGTTTTAGCTGTAAATGTTACCAAATTCCTCTTTTTGAAGCAGAGGTCTGAACCTGACCCCCTCATTGCTCAAAAAAAACTTCAATGACTCCTCCACTGCTAGGAAAATGAAATCTATAGTCCTTATCTCTCTAATGATGGACTTGGACCTCTGTGACCCCTTCCAGCTCTGGGATTTTTGGACTGAAATCCTTTAGCATAGCATTAAAGGTTTCCAGAAACTAGACCAAACATATTTTTAGCTTTGTTCTCACTACTCCCCTATGCTAAGAACTTCTATGTCCCAGAGCAAACTGCTCCCTTCCATTCTTCCTCTAAACTTTCACTAACACATACTCATGATGTTTCCCTCAGTAGGAATGCTGGCCTAGAATTTTCTGCCTGGCTGAGTCCCAACTCTCTCCCAAGCCTCACTGAAGCGTCCTGGAGCCACAAGTTGTGAGGCTTCCCTCGATCTGCAGGAGCTGGGGCTCCCTCAGCATGACTGTGTGGTGGAGCTGAATGAGCCCCAGTGGGTGGTGCTGAACACTCTCCCTGCCCACCCCCAGGAGCACTCACCCTGTTCCTTCTTGAACTCGTTCTCACTCATGAACACGGGGGCCATCAGCTCCCCAACAGGTGGCTGAATGGAGACGTAGAACTGTCGGGTTTGGGTGCTGGGAAGGGTAGGAAGAGACAGAGGGAGAGGTAGTGAGACCAACATCTCTCCCCTCACCTCCCTCTTTGCCTGGAGGCAGGGCTTAGAGGCAGCAGGAGAGGGAGGTAAGACCTGAGGTCTTGGGAGGCCTTCCAGACCCATCAGATCATGGTGTATCCCCACCTACTATCACCCCACCTCTCCCCAGCCACCCTACTACCCCTCTCCATGAGTTGGACACATACCACAGCTGGAAGTTGGCCGCCTGGGTCGAGTCACAGAAATTAATGCCCATGATAGCAGTGGCAGACTCTCCAGGTGCCAGGGACTCTGCAGCAGTATGAGGCAGGGAAAGGGGGAGAAGGAGACACCATCACTTGACAGGTCTGGAACCCAGGCCCATTATCCCATCCACTGCCAGAGCTGACCACCCCTCTATGGAATCCTGGCTTTCTGGGCCCTTGGAGACTGTTCTTGGTTTTTTCCTAAATTCTAAACACCTTTCCCCATTTAAGTCAGTTCTGGAACAACCAAGCCTCAAGAACCTCTTGCCCTGATATGGACTTTCTCATTTTCTAGTCTGTCTTGTCCACCAGGGCACGGACTGTGTTAGATGCCATCTCCATGCCCCTATAGCTTAGACCCTGGCCTGACACAGAGGGGGCCTCAACAGCCACAGAAAGACCAACTCCACCCAGGAGCCTCCTTCTCCACCACCTTCCGCACCGATTTCAGGAAATTCCTGGATGCTGATGCCAGCAGGCAGTTTGGGGGTGCCCACATGCAGGCCCTTGATGGGGGTATCAGAGCTGTTGGAGAAGTGGATGTGCACAGACACCATGTGGGGGTCCCCGGAGAAAGGTTGGCGGCTGAAGGTGTAGTCCACAGCCAGCCCCTCGCCAGCTACGCGGTGCAGCAGCTCCTGCCTCCCAACACCCAACACTGGACTCAGCAGCTAGAGGAGAGGAGGAGTGGGGGAAGTATAGAAATGAGCAAGAAGGAGATAGCATGTCCCAGCCTTGTCCCCACCTGTGGTCACAGCAATAGGGACTCAAAGCTGTCCCCTCCATCACATTCCCTTCACACAAACCCATACCATAGGATTCAGCACAGAAATGTGTCCCTGCCTCAGCCCAGTGCCTCCCCATCCCACTGACCGAGGGCACCAGAGAAGAGTCTGTGAGTGTCAGGCCCTCCAGGTCAGTAGCCAGACTGGTGGACACAACCATGGGAGGAGACACAGGCTGGACACTTGGAGGGGTGACTGTGGGAACATATGAAGAAGACTGATGAGGGAGAGGCAAAGTGGAATTGGCTCAGATCTAGCAGGAACCCAAGGCTCAGGGAGCAGACAGTTCAGCACCATGGACAGCGAGGCACGTGGCAGCCTGATGCCTCTGCAGGGATACCCACCCTTGACCCCAAGCCCACACCTGGGGAGGTTGTCCTGCTGCCCTCTCAGGGCTGAAGATGTGTTCTGTCTGCTCCCCCAACCCTGAAGCTCTGAGAAACCTAATTCAGAACTCCCATGGACCTTCCAGAGTCACATTACCTAGGCATCCTTCCCCTAAGACTTCTACCACCCAAACTCACAGTCCTCTAGATCAAGCAGGGAGATCTCCTTGGCTGCAGGGGCACTTTTGCTGCTGGGAGGCTGGAAGAGAAATGTGGGATGTGAGTGTGGAAAGGGACTATCCTGGCCTGTTTGGGTTGTGGGGAGATGCCTGGGCCTGGCCCAGAGGATGGGGAGGGCCCTGGTCCAAGAGCCCACCCCCTTTCTGCCCCAAGGCTCTCACTGTTTTTTTTCTCCAGGAGGCAGGTTCCACCTGCTCCTCCTCAGTCTCTGATGTCATCTCAGACTCTGATGAGCTGCTGCTGGAATCGCTGCCCTCGTCTGAGGATGTGCCTTCTCCTTGTCCCTCTGACACCTTCTTCCTCTTCTTCATCTTCTTCTTACCTTCCTCCTCACTTTGTTCACTGGAGGAGAGGGGGCAAATGGGGCTCAGGCCCAGCCTGGATGGCTCCTCCATGCCTCACAGAAGAGCAGGAAAAGCCTTGGAAAGCAGGGGTGAGGGTGGGGAGCCTGGGCCAGTGGAGTCCACACCTAAGCTCCTAGGCCTGTGCCAGCTCAGGCCCCCGTCCTGACTGCTCTTCATGCTGCCCCCATGAGGTGCAGGCCTGCCGCAGAGACCTCCCGCGAGCAGACCAGCGGGCCCATCAGCTCATGGGGAGGCTCAGGGGCTCTTAGGAAACTGGCTATTAGCCCTTCTTTTCCTGGGGAGACCCCAGAAGCCCCCCAGTCATCTTACCTCTCACTACTCCTCCCTTTCTCCTCGTCTTCTTCCTGGTCTTCATTGTCAGACTCACTGCTGGACTCCCCAGAGCCACTCTCACTGCTGCTCTTACTGTCCGATTCACTCTCAGACCCGGGGTCTGTGGATAGACCATCTCAGGCTGCCCTCCCTTGTGTGCAGGACTCCTAGGGTTCCCTGGGTGCCCAGCTTCAGACTCAGCACTGAAGCAGTAAACCTCCCACACCCTCAACCTGCTCCCAGTCCCAGACGCCAACTAGATCACCTGGGACAAAGATGGACCTGTATGGACAGAGACCTGAACAAGCATCTGGGACATGCAATCCATTAGGTGCATAAACACACGTGCAGGTGCACTCAAGCAGGTGCACACCCTGTTGGACACATGACCATATAAAACATGAGCACACACGTGCACCAGCCAGCCACAAGGCACACACATGGGCAGGAGCACAGGGCCCCAGCTCTGCCATCTCCTCACCACTGTCTGCAGACTCTGTGGGGCCTGACTCCCCTCAGAGTCTGAGTAGAAGGGTTTCTCCTTCTCCTTCCTCTTCTCCCGATTTGAGCACTTGGTCCATTCCGGTACCTGGAGATGGAGAAGGGGGTCATTAAATGATGGGTGGGGAGGGGGAGGGAGAGCATGAGGCCCTCTAATCTGTCACCCTGCCTCTTCTTGGGGCCCCAACTGGTCCTGTCGCCAAGAGGGAATAACGGAGGGGAGGGAAGGGGCACTGTCCACAGAGGGGAGGGATGCTGCTCACAGAGGGGGACTGCCAACAAGGAAGAAACAGGGTATAGGGAAGGCACAGGGCTGCAGCACACAAGGGGAAGGGGAGGGGGCAGCACAGGTTGGGAGAGAGCACTGCACACGGAGCAGAGGGCACACAGCACACTGGGGCAGGGGACCTCAGTGTATTCGCCCAACAGGCCCACGTGGGTCTCAACAAGGGAGAGATCTTCTTCCTGTGCATGGGGAGGGTATCAGGAGGGCTGGCTGGCACACCCAAGGCTCCCTGCTGTCTATCCCTCTGCACACACAACTCAACCCTCCACCCCTGCTGACCTCCACGTTGCGCACAGATGGATCTGGGGCTTCCTCTGGCCAGTCTGGGAGCTCTTGGTAGCCCGTGGCCTTAGCGTTGAGCAGGTGGGACAGTGAGCCCAGCTGGAAGTGGTCCCGGTCTGGGGACAGGGTAAGAGGTCAAGCCAATGGTGACAGTGAGGAAATTGCCCTGGGACTTGTTTCCTAGGTGAGGCTGGGTGGTGATTCTGGTTGGAAACCCCTAGCTAGACAGAAGAAAGGGGTGGTCGTGTCCCCTGAAGGTACTTCTGCCCTGACTGAAACTTCAGGCCCATATGCTGGAAAAAAGGTTGTATGGCCCAGCTAGAGCAGGACTGAAGGACAGGAGCAGAGGAGGGCAGGAGGGGACTCAGCTCAGAGCTGCTGCTGGCTTGTCCTCCTAGGTCTACCTGCTGGGGATGCAGAAATGTGAGTGAGGCTTCTCTTCCAGGGCAGTGGGGACTGTGCTGTTGTAAGTCAAGCTCAGGAAGGAGGCCTACTTGGGACCAGGGTAGCAACTGTGAATAAGAGGTCAAGGGGCAGGGAGGTGTGTCTGGTCAGGCTCCAGACTTCATGGGGAGGGGTGAGCAGTCCGAAAGGGAGTGGGAGGGAGTCAGGGCCAGAGGAGGGCAATGCAGAAACTTGTAAGTGGGAATGGTGTTAGAGAGAAGAAAAGGACCATTCCCCTTCCTCCAGGGAGGTTTTCACATCTGCCCCATCCCTCAGAATCTCCCTATTCCTGAGGTCCAGGGAGGAGAAAAAGCAGAACAAAAAGATCTGCAGGAGAACCAAGCTTGGTGAAGGAGGCTGCCCTCCTGGGTAGGTTCCTGGGTCCAGAGAGCCAGCTGGAGGACCCTCCCGCTCCCCGCCTCTCTCAGAGCCTTTGACATGGGAGACCAGCCCAAGAAAAGAGGCAAGGCTGAGGGCCTGAGGCCCAGGGTTTGGGCTGAACTCCAGTGACAGCCCACCAAGTGCTGGCAACTGCTATCATGGGATCCTTACAAACCTACACCTCTCCTTTGTATGGTGTTTTACTTCCTGTCTTCCTGGGCCCGTGGTATGTAAGATCTGGATATATAGAGCCTGCTCAGGGAGGTGGCTGGAAAGGGGATCCGGAGAGGAGAGACCCAGGTGAGGTGATGCTGGTGGTGGCTGTGAGTGGGTGAAGGAGCAAGCCCTCAATGCTGCACGTGGGGCAAAGTGCTGGGCCAGGGGGACAGGACTGGCATGTCTCCAGAAGTCCTGCCCATCACAGCCTGGCACCAGGCTAAAACAGAGCTCTCAGCAGGGAGGTCTGGGACTGGGGTGCCGGCCAATCTTCCTCTTCCCCCATGAAGGCTACTCTTGATTTCAGCTCCCACCTTTGAAGGATGACTCCAAGACTGGGGCTGGTTTGGGTGCCAGGAAGAGCTTCTTGGCATGGCGGCTGAGGGCCCCACCCTGCTCCGAAGGGACGATGAGCTGCCGGGTGAAGCGCGCTCGGTCTCGGATATCGTAGTTCTGGTCATACTTGGCCAGACTCAGCACATACTGGGTCAGCAGCTTGGTCTGGGGGACAAGAGGTGGGACATCAGCCATCACAGAAGGTGGGGACACAAGAGCTCTCTGAGCCAGATTCTTTAAGCCAACAGCTCCAAGCAGTGCCGCCTCCACCCGGTTTTCCCTCCCACCCTGCCACTGTGTCAGACCCTGCATCTTTTCTCACCTCGCCGGCCCTGACTCCTGACCCCAGCTTTGATAACTACCATGAGTCAGCAAAAGAGGCTGCCCTTTTGGAATCCTCCCTCTTGGCCCTGGATGCCATTCTTCCTCAGGTTTGTGGTCCCTGCTGCCCCAGGCCCAGTTCCTACCCCACCTAGTCCAGGCTGGGCTAACGCCTCTACTCTGGGCTGGGGTGCCACAGTGAGTGAAGGTCTGGAAAATTCTGCTGGACCTCACAGCTTCCAGGCTCCATCACCCAGGGGAAATTATACAACAAGAAGAGAAAGGGGAACACAGGAATGCCCTCAGCAAGGCCCCACTAACCCACAGAGCAGATTCTGAGCAGCCCAGGGGTCTCAGAGGCCATAATCCTCCCCTGGAAGATTCTAACAAGATCAGAGCAAACTGCAACTGCCTATGGGTTTGCTGAAGTCACATAGGGTTCATAGTCTGGAGTCAAGGCAGCCATATTCCAGGACCCCAAATCTCAACTTCTGCCCTGATCTGACTAGTCTAACCTGTCTTTAGAAAATGAGGGTGCTGGCCATCATTTATGGAGTATCCTCTAGTGCCAAGTACTGTGCTAAATGTTTCACTATCTAATGTAATTTCCATAACCCTCCTGAGAGGTGGGTACTATTGCCACATCTACACAGAAGCAGACTCATTAAGTCACTTTCCCAGGTTAAGGAGCCAGTCAGTGCTACATCCAGGCCTGGACCCACCAGAGTCTACTCTGTCTGCTTCTCCCTACTGCTCACCATCCATGGCTGCCCTCATCCAGGTCTCCATCCCTCAGGATCAAGACAGTCAAAACCCACCAAGTACATACATCCTGTGTCACCACAGCCAGAGTACGTGGGGAGATTCTGAGCGACGGGGATCAGCAAACCAACTCCTGAGGTTTATGGTTACATAGTGTTAGAAAGATGTCCATGAGGCACAGAGCCCCAAGATGCTGAACCAAAATCATCTGTTCCACTCCTACCTACAGCATGACCCACGAGGACTTCACGTTCAGCTCAGTCCCTTCCAGCATAGCACCATCTGCAACGCTGTTCCATTATAGATAAGTACTCGGAACCACATACTACCCTAGGATGCCACCATCAAAATGGACTTCATCACAGACCTGCCTCTCCCTTGGCCAGACACCATCTCACCAGCCAAGGCTAATGGGCACCCTTATCAATGTGGTCCATTATTAAGATGCTGCTGATCTTCCTCCACAGACTTCCCAGCTGGCTGATCACAGACTTTCTCCCTCCCCCGAAATCCTTGCCTAGTTCTGGAAAGAAGTGTTCAGGACTTGGATCCATCTCTCCATCTGTCAACAACCAACATAAGGAGGGACTGGACCACCTCCTCCACACTGCAGGATTTGCCTATAACAAATTAATTACCCTGCTCCACCCTAAGGACCCATTTCCCAGGGATTATAACAACCAGTCTGCAGCACCCCAGGCCCACCCCTCCACCTCCCACCTCAGCCTAGGAGTGCAGGAATTATAGGCTGCTCAAGAGGGCCTATGAGACATGCTTCATTGCACCAAGAATGGAACAAGTCTCCCACTGACCAGTGGGCTCCAGCTGCCGGGGAGAATTTTAAGTTGGGAACACTGATACTTTTTCAAGAACCTATACTAACATAACTGCTACCTTGCAGACACCTATTAAATCATGCTGGGGAAACTAGCTATTCAAAAAAATAAAATGAATTAAAAGACATTCTCATCTGACACACTGCATAAAAATTAGCTCTAGATATGAGGCAGACAGACGCCTAGGTCCTCCCCCACAATCCTTGCCTCCTGATGCTCATGCCTTGACCCCCTCCCCTTGAGCGTGGGCAAGACCTGACCAATAGAATATGGCAAAAGTGACTGGGAAGTGAAATGTAATCCTATGGTTATGTTTCATTATATAAGACTCCAGCCTTGCTAGCAGCCTGGTTCCAGAGACTTTTTTCCCTGTAGCTTTGAAGAAATAAGCAGCTATGCTGGGAGAACCCATGTGGCAAGGAACTGAGGGTGGTCTCCACCTGCCAACCAGCAAGAAGCAAGGGCCTCAGTCCTGCCACTGCGAGGAACTGAATCCTGCCACCAACCATGTGAAACTGAATGTGAACCCTTGCCCAGCAGAGCCCCCAGTTGAGAATCCCAACTTGACCAGCACCTCAACTGTAGTCTTACATAAGACCCAACTAAACCGTATCTGGAACTCTTGACCCATAGAAATAGAAAACAAACATGTTGTTTTGAGCTACTAAGTTTATGGTAACGTACTACACAGCAACAGAAAACTAATACAGTGGATTAAAAAACATGAAAATAGAAAAAAATCTGGAGGAAATTAATGGATGAAAATTTTAATTCATATGTGAATGGGGAAACAACTTTCTAAATACAAGGTATTGACAGGAAACAGAAATGAAAAGACTAATGTATTGAACAAGACACAAATGTACAACTTCTGGATGACTATATATAGGAATCAATTTTTTTTTAAAGCTGAGGAAATATAAAATTAATGGTGATCTTTTCTAGGTAGTAGATCTATGGCTAATTTAAACTTTTAATTAATATTTTTCTGGAGTTCCCAAATGTTCTATGATGAGCATGCATTAGTTTTATGACATATTAAAAAAAGTTACAAACTTTTTAAAAAGTACTGCCAAACTTATCAGAATCTTCCATCCACTGTAGAAGCCAGATTTCGGTTCCTATCATGCCCTAAGCAGACCCTCCCCCCCCCACATATCTCACCAGGCATACAAAAGCAAACTCACCTGCCAAAAGCATTCCAGACAGTTGCCCCAAGTGGCTGCAAGAACCACCCTCACTATCACTGCCACCCCCAGCACTCTCTCAGTGCATCTATTATTAGAGCCTTTGTGGCCTCTGGCCTAGTATCTGATTATCTGCTAAGCAACAGAAGGGCAGAGCTCCTTGGTCTTCTCCTTGACCACAGTCTGGGCCAGGATCTGGTGTGCAGTGGGGGTCAGTACGAGAGGGAGATGGCTGGGATTGTTGAAGCCCTGTGGAAGGTCCAGAATGTTACCCGCGATACTGTGATGGGGGAAGTATCTCTGCTTTTTTGCAAAGATAGCCATGCGCACATCCAAACTACCTCCCTCTTAGAATGCCAAGAATTCCCCTTCCTCCACTACTCCCAGAACAGGCTGGGAGGAAAGAAGAGACAGGAGGGTAGGAGGTTAGAGGAAAGCTCTCTATATTGAGTCAAAGAACCATTCTAAGGGGCCTGTGCCTGGAAGGACCAACCTTCAGGTGAAGGGTACCTGGAGGTCAGTGTCCACTTGCCTAAACAGCCTACTCCATGCCTTGATAGGGCTGGGTCCCCTGTGTCCTGCCCAGGAGAGGGGTTCAGCTGTATATACCCACAGCTCTCTGTGCTAATCCTGACCGCACCCTTTATTGCTCTGCATGTGGTGCTGTTTCCTTGACTTGGCTATGACTGTTTGGGGGCCAGTAAACATGTCTTACTCACTGTCATTACCCCCAGGACATAGCTCAGTGCCAGGCATAGTAGGCACTCAGGAAATGCATGTTAATTAAATCAGTGAATAAATGCACATGCGGCTGACAGTGACAACTTGGGGGAAATGCCACGTGGGCACACCCAGGCTTATGAAAACATGCCCACATCACCATTCTCGGGCTCAGGACTCTGGCTCAGTCCTGAGCCTGTCAGATGTCCACCTACTTGGGCGGCCACCCACTCAGGCTGCTTCATCTATTCAAACGTTCCTCCCACCTGCTTCTTCCTCCCATTTGAATAAAGGAGACACACAAGTATTTGTTCTATGACTGAAGGCTTCCCCGTGGTGCTCCCTCTAACTTTTCTGTCTCTAATCTGCTTCTCCCACGGTAGTGACACCCACAGACCCAGCCCCTCATTGCTTCCAGACAGAGGCTGTCATTTCCACCACCTGACAAGAGTCCCAGCACGTGACAGCCCTGCCTCCCAGCTTGACCCACTCTGGCCACCATGGATCAAAGGAGCCGCTGATGAAGCACTAGTGCCACCAACCAAAGCATCCCATAGAATGACAAAGAGGCCACCTTCAGGCCAGCAGGGATGTCACAGTCTCCAGGGTGTGGCCCAGATGCTTTGCTCCAAGGGTTGGCAAACTCCTTCTATCAAGGGGCCGAGTAACTATTTTAGGCTTTGCAGGCCACATGGACTCTGCTGCAACTACAACATCCAGACAATAAACAAATGAATGAACATGGCTGTGTCCTAATAAAATTTTATTTACGAAAACAGTCAGCAGGCCAGATTGGGCCCGTGGATGGTAGTTTGCCAACCCTGGTCTTGATTAACTGAGTGGGGCAGTGACTGTGGGAACTGTCATAGTGCTTGGTGTCCCCAATACCTTGGAAAGCTCTGCACATTATACTTTTTTCTCAGCAGAATCTCCTGGGACCATCTCAGAGGATGCCGGACACTCGAGAGACTTAATATCCTGGTATTTCAGCTCAGTTGAGCCATGTCCTTGGCTACAGTGCCTCTTATAACTTTTCACCTTGGGAATGACAATGGCTGCCAATACCACCCAAGGCTGAGCACAAACTTGCCCTCTTACCCCTGGCACAGACTAGCTAAGCATCACCAAGCTTCCAGAGGAAGCACAGACCACACCTCCTGGGACACAGAGTCGCCCATCAGTGCCTGTCCCTGCCGGCCCCTCCCCTTGGCCACAGTGTTCCAAAGGCAGCAGGTAGGGACACTCCCACTGATAGACTGGAAGTCATAACCCCAAAAGAGAGCCTCTTGCACCACCCCTACCAGGCCCTTGGGTCCCCAGAGGAGCTGTGGACACTGGGAAAACACTGGCTACCTGGGCAGACCAGCCACCTACCCTGAGCTCTCTCTTCAGAAAGAGGTGCTGGAGTTCATGCCTAGCTGGTGAGGGCCCCCCACTTCTGGGGCTCAGAGTGTTTGAGGAGGCATCTTGCAATCTTTACCTGCTTAGAGTTGGTCAGGTAGAGCTTGGCTGCCAGGTTGATGACCTGCAGCTTAACAATATCCTCCTCTGCTGTGAAGGACTTGGCCATTTTTCTCAGGACATCAGGTGCAATCCTGGGGACGTGCTCACAGTATTCACCAATGAGCCACAGGATGCTGGCTCGGGCCATGGGCACCTGTGGGTGTGGGAGAGGAGTTAGGACTGGGGTAAATGTGAGAATGTTGGAGGGCCTGCCAGGGAATTGGCACTCTTCCTATCTGTGCTGACCTATTGTATCATGGGATTCTCTGGAAACGGGGGTGGGAGGTGGTGGGAGAGAGATTATATGGCAAGCATTTCCTGGGCAGCATCCCCTTCATCCCTAGGGTTCATTAGCATGAGCAGAGCCTTCAAGCCCCCAGTTCAGTCACGGTTTGATATAGAAGATTGCTTTTCTGGATCCATTGTACCCTTAATGCTTAACTGCCAAGTTATTCTTCCTGAATCTTCAGGAACTCCTTGTTTGAATGTTTCAACTCGGCAGTGTAACAGAAAAACACATGATTTGTCAATCGGCCACCCTGGGCCAAAGCTTTGGAGTGGTGGTCCAGACTGTGGATGGAGTTCAGCAAGGGATCCCCAAAGGGAAGGTGACTCAGGGTCACATGGCTCATCCATCCCCTTCTTCCACCTGAAGACCTTTCAGAGCCAGTATGGAAAGTTTGGAAGCTGATTTTTATTAAGGCCAGTGTTTAACCTAGGGTCTTAAAATCATGGGGAGGATATTGATGTGGGGAGGGAAATATGGGGTTACTCCCTCACCTGGATGTTGTCTGTGAGCTTTGCCAAGTGTTTGATGATCTCTCCGTGCTGTGCTGGCTGCATTTGCAGCAGCTTCTTAATGACAACCACTGACTCTGCAACCACGAGCTCTGTGGAACAGGAAATGAGCGTGTGGAGAGGAGAGTCAGACGATCACACACAGGTAGGCAGACGCACTTGTGATGTCCCCAGGCCCTTGACTCTCTTCCTCAACCTCCTGTACTTCTGCAGGTTCCCTCAGAGGTGTAGGAGCACTTACACACCAAGTGAGGCAGACAGACTGGTGAACACACACTGCCTGTACAGACACTGGCCATCAGAGTTAGACATGCAGGCAGACACCCACTAGTCATTAAAGCTGGACACTCAGACACAAACACTGACCATCACGGTTGGACAGCAGCTGCACCAGGCCGTTGAGGCAGGTGTCACGGACTCGGCCTATGTTAGTTGCACAGCGTCCAATGGCCTGGATCGTGGCTGCCACAAAGTCCTTGTCCATGCTGCGAATGTAGGTCTGTGGGACACCACAACAGTGACCCCTCATTCCTCAGGCCTAACTCAGCAGTGACTCTGCAGGCCTGAGGGTGACCTTCCAGAAAGCTGTTACCCCTCATTCAATGACTCATCATGCCAGAGAATAAACTCCATGAAAAGGAGTGACATCCTCTTCCATTACTCAGTGGTTCCCTAACCCAAAGCCAGCAGAAGGCATTGGGAGGGGAGCTAAGATAGCAGTTTCTCCACTTTGGGCCCCTAAGAGAAGGTCTGACCCACCAGGACAATTCTCACTGAGCACAAGGAGCTGG